CAAAAGCTACAGCCAAGCAAACCCTGCCATTTTTCAAATTTGTTTAAGAAAGTATTTTTTTGTCAAATGAAAGAAACAAAAGTTAAAGATGCATGTCTAGCCAATAGTGTGATTTGTCTTAAAATATATTACACTATAATATTCAAGTACACCAATATCTAACAGAAAAGCCAGTTAATCACAGATTCAAGATTGTTATGGGCAAATAAATTGAACATGGACAGTTAAGAAAACAAGGAAACACACATGTAGTTTGAAACAAAAAATCAAGACACACGGCAGTGTGTTGTGTGGCCAAAACAAACTGCAGGATACACTACATGTGATTAACAAGAGTGATAATTTAACGATTTTCCACCTCCTGTAACTTTGACTGTGGCCAAACTATTATATATTTTCAGTGGATATGATCTACTGGACTCTTACTTCACATACCAAATTTCAAGGCAATCCATTAAGAAAAACACAAGATACAGAATCTTCAATTTTGATGGATTTTTTTCTTCTTTTTTTTTTTCTTCACACTGAAAGTATGAAAATTTTATTTTATAGAAAAACATACTTAAGTTTTATGAATTTTTTTCAAATTTGGTATGCTGATAGATCTTTACAACCTACAGTTAAGTGTCAAATTTTGTTTAAATATAAGCCACATGTGCAGAGTTATATATCAACAAAAACTGCGTAAATTTGACTAAAATTTTTGTGCACACCTAAGCAAAAGGTCATGTGAGCTATCAGTCTGAAATTTTAACTACAGCTTCACCCAAAAGTACAAGTGGACCCTTTTTAGATTTTTTGTCATTTGGATTAAAGACAGCTGATTTAGAGCAGTAAAACTATAAGGTGAAAGGACATGCAGGTACATAAGTATTAGTTAGGCCAAGCAAACTGGATTAGCAGTTTCTAGATCAAGTTTTCAAAAGAATCATATGGGTGGATGGTTATTACTCATCATTCATTGCCAACTTTTATGAAACTCTACTAATTAAAAAGCAATTAGTGTCCTGTGATATTAGCTTAAGCAATTAGCATAAGTAATGATGCTTGATACAGCTTTACTGAGTGCATGTACATGATGATAAGAAACTGTTAATCTAGATTCCATGGCATTACTATAAAGAAAGTTATAAACTAATTTTGGTTACTATTGAGTGTCACTTTCTTACCTGCTGTGGTTTGATGGTGAGTATTGACAAAAAGTCTTGATATCTAATCAAAATCACCTTAGGTGTGAAAAAAAAGGTGCAGCCAAAAAAAGGATTGAGTATGCGACTTAAGGGGATGAAATCAAAATTGGTGGTCAAACAAGTAAATACACTTATAGTATGGATAAAAATGTTACAGCAAATATTCATTCATTAGTTATCTAGGCTGCATATTTTGTTTTACTCACTATAATGCTTTGTTTTTTTGGTAACATCTTGTTTCTGGGGCCATGAAAATCAAGAGCACAAGAGAGATTGAGAAAAATCAATAGACTGATCTATGGAAATACCTAACTTATAAACCCAAGTGCAATAAATACAGATAGTGTCCTACAAGTACAGAGGTTACATACTTCAGCCAATGGTCTACATGCAACCTTAAGATAAGGCAGTTGTACAAGTTTCTGTATTGTCTGTTTGAATAGGCTAACTTCCAAGTAGTTCATACAGAAACATATACATGCTCCTTGGCTTAGAAACAAAGGCTGCAGCATAAAAGGATGAGTAAATGTTTATGACCTTAAGACATCTGGTTATCACAGATATGATCAACTACATGCAGAAAATGCACAGAAATTTTGAAAAAATTAATTGAATAGACATTAATAAAAATATATACATTCTATACTAGTTATGGTAGTGTAACGTTTGGCTATTTCAGTCATAACATCAGTAATGTTGATTCTCAATTAATAGGGTTGTATATAGTTCTGAAGCATAATTTTACCAGAAAGCTTTTTGTTAAGTATATTAATTTTTGTAAAACCAGTTTTTCTCCAGTATTTCATGTATGCAAGTCTTTATATATTTGAACTCATGCTTAAAGTACAGCATTTTTTGATCTGATAAAAACTGAAAAACATCATTGATATACACAACTTACCTAAATGTATGTCTATTAAGAATAAATGTCTTCAATTTTTTCATTAAAACAAAAATTATAATTATGTAAATCATGTTTTATATCAATTTTAAATATACTGTTAAATACATCTTGCCAGTCCTCTTACACATCCAAAGCACTCTTTGACAGCCCAACTAAATGCTGGGTGCTAACTTTTGACATTGAAACTAAATGCCAAATGCTAACTTTTGACAGTTCAACTAAATGCTAGATGCTACTTTTCACAGTCCAACTAAATGCCAGATGCTGATAACATTCTGGTGTACAACAGAGGCTCTAGTAAAGCTGAAATATTTGCAAATGACTTACAGGCTGTACACATTAAAATATACAGTAGTTAGTTTCCAGATGGATGGCAGAAAGTAAACTGTATGGTAAGACTGACCATCACTTGGATGCATGTGCCAGGCTATGCAAGGGTAAAGCAACACGAAGAAGCTGACAAGCTCAAAAGAAAATCCCCTTTGTCAAATCCTGCTCAACTGGACTGGCAGGATATCAACCTCCTCTACACTAGTAAGGTGAAAACAGCAACTATAGAAGGACTTTCTTAACAGCATACAGCCAGAAGGTAACTGGTAACATTTGTAAAATAACTCTATTCTACTATCTGAGAGGACCAGCACCTGCAGGAGCAACCTCTGGGACTGTCACCCACTATTCAACATCTCTAAAATTACAAAGCTTAAATATAAAGGTTACAGACAAATTTGAAAATGAATTAGTTTAGTAAAAAATTAGATTACAAGGGTAGCATGCATAAATTTAAAAGTTTTGGTATTTGGAACTTTGAAAAATCAATCTTACAGAGTATTGTTTAAAAAAGTAAAAGCATTATCTTGGTAATCTATCCTATTTAAAACATTCATAGAACTGTAAACCTTCAATTTTCTAAATATAGCATAAATTAAAATGTTTAATTAGGTTCAAATAAAACAATATCAAATTGAAAAGGTTATTTACCTGAACAACAATCAGATAAGTAAGTGAATGAATTCCTTGACTATAAGCCAATCCAAATAAGTAAGTAAAGACTCCACTCATTAACATTCCAGTAGCTAGAAAATATCTCAGATCCACCCGTTCAGCAACAAAACCACTAAAAAAAATTTAAATATTCACAATATATTCACCTCTTGTTTTCTCCATAACAAAATTTAAGAATTCTTACTGATATTTTTAAAAGATTTTCCAACACTTTTTAAACCTTTGTGCACGAAAACAAAGTTAATAACCTCAGGTTTCTTAGTATTATTTCTTTTGATATCTAAAAAACCTTAAATTAAAACATTAACAGATCCATATAAAAGTACAATTATTATGTATAATAAATACAGATGATGTTTCTTCATGTTTGGAACAATAAATGAACTGCTGGACTCACTTCATTCAGCTATGGTCTCAAGCTGTTAGTTAAGATTGAGTGTCTCTGTTATAAATAAACTTTTCTATTTCATAGCTCCATCTAGCAAGAACATTAAATTAACTGTGGTAAATTGCTATGTTGCATTCACTGATAGCATATTTGCATACACTTGAGCAATGGAGAAATTACAAACACAAGTTGTACATCTTGCATAATTCATACACTTTGAGGATGATACAATATCATGCCTAAACTTCTGCTTGCTATTTACTTTTCTTTTCTTTGCTGGAGTCACTGGGGAGGAAATAGAACCATATTTTTTCCTAAAAAAATAATCAGTGCACCTAGACACTTACTATTTACACACTATTTTAATAGCATATTTCAAGCATTTGTAAGATTGAGATGCAAAGTGTAGAGTGGTGAATTATTTCTGGAAAATTATTAGTAGAAAAAAGGGTTGGTGAAAATATTCCGAATTTTGCATAAAATTGTAAAATAACACCACAGGTGTAAAAGAAGAAAAGAATTGGAACAATTATGCATAAATCGTAAGAGTTGGCAGGTCTGTATATTGGATCAACCACCAAACAGTTATAGAAACACATGTTCAAAGAATGGTAGGGTATGTGAAATGCAGGCATATGTTTCTGAAAAATTTTATCAGATACTCCCTTCTGTTTGCAAAGTCATTTATTATTTTGTGTAATAGCTCAAACTCACCACTGGAACACATAAAAACAAATAAGAATTTATTTTATCATGAAGCACTCCTGTTGATTTTAGAAACACATTTTCAGCTGAGCTGCCAAATTGTATTTTCCTCTGACATATAAAAAAATAAATACAGCTGACAGTGTAACTACTGTTACAACAATGAATGACTATATTCAGATTGATTGTCTAAATGTACTAAAAACAGCCAAGATTGTAAAATAGAATTGTTACAGAAATAAACCAAGATTTATGGGTTTATTAATAGGTCACCACCTCATATGATGCATTACTCTAGGAAATACTGATGAATTATATTTTCATATCTCATAAGGTACTTCTAATATCAACAAACATTAGGCAACTGGCACACGAGCAGTACATTTAGCCACATCTTAAACTACACTCATGTCACCTTACAGTGAAGTAATATGTATACATATTGTATTCTTATAACAATCTAATCAAACCATATTGAAAGCAACATTAAAGTACAAAAATCAGGAGATGACAGAAAACAAAAATAATGCATTTAAAACCTAAATGAAAATCTTCTTCATGAATAAACTTGTAAGATAAAGAAGCTGAAGAATTTAATGTACAAACCACTTTGTCAGGTAAATGTTTCTAGAACTTAATACTGTGAAAGAATGAAACTATTTCCCTATATAACAAAGATATTTCAGATTTTATGCTTATATTTTGATGCATTAGAAACCCCCAATTATTTTAGATAATCAGTAAGTTTAGTACTTGTCCATAAGAAAAACAGAAACTCAATAGACTAAGTTTAGTTATACAGTTGTTAATAGCAAAATTGAAGAGATATTATGAAAGTTTTAGGATAAGTTACCATACACTATTTATTGACACAAATGTTGCGAACAAAAAATTGAAGAAATTAGAATATTTGTTTTATTTTAGTGAAATAATTCTTAAGATATGTTTAAGGAAACTGTGTGTTAATATTTTCCAATTAATGTACAATAAACTAGTGAGGAACATGCATATTCAGTATGCAAAGTTATTCAGTGCAATGTAAAATGACCCCCCCCCAAAAAAAAAGGACTTTAGTACTATTTGATTAGATATACAAAAAATCAAGATGGATAAAGAACACATCATCAAGTCTAATTCTGAAGAGAAAAGACATGAATTGAAACAGCAAAATTATCTAACATGAGCACCACTTTCATCATTTTCAGACTTCTAAATGTAAATATATAACCCACAAAAAACGTTCTGACCTTTATATACTTAAGTAATCATTTTAAAATTTTCATACATTTTCAAAGCGAAATACAACAACTTAGATTAAGTATAAACTTTATCTAGTTTTGGAAAACAGCAAAACATATAATAAAATACTCATTCTTTCAGTAAAGGCTGTATATTTTTCCCATCTACCACAAGTATGTTATTTTTAGCTGGCTTTTTTACACATATATAATTGTAAAAACATATCATTTAGAATCATATTAATTCTATAAAACCTCTGTAAAATAGAAATTAAATAAAAAAAAATACTTTTAATTCAAATTTAATGTTCTAACTCACCTTACAAACATAAAGAAGGCATACATAAACAAAAAAGCAGAATCCAAGTATCCTAAAAGTTCATTAGCATCTTTTCCATCTATTAAAAAAAAAAGGTAAGAAATAAGTTGATATGTTCAAAAACTAAAAGTTATAATGATAAAGAAACAGTTTCAAATATCCATGATAGTACAAATTAAAGTTTTTCTTTAAAAAATTGTATAGAACTTTAGAATAGTCATTAATAAGTTTTTCCATTCTTTGTTTCTGAAATATTCAATTTACCATATTAAGTAATTATCTTATTACAATTCTGTAATAATATTAAAGAGAAACAGTATTCCCATATTACCATAATTTTAAAATGTTATTTTTTTAGATTTTAAAGAAATGTTATTAATATAGGCCATATAGGGTAATTAAGTTGCTATAAAAATAAAAACTTTCAAAGTAATTATTACTGAAGTAGTATGTACATGTAATTCTTTGTTTGTTTTAAAGAGGTTGTTATGTCAAATACCCTCTCTTCTATTATCTGATTGGAAACTATCAAAAAATTATAATTATGCACATCTCGATCATGGCCAATGTTGCATTAATTTCATATAATATAGAACACATCATAATTACTTTGATTCATCAGTATTCTTTACAAAAGAGATAATCCTCTTTTGTACTATTTTTGTGTAAAATCAAGCAAAATACACAACTATAAAGCATAGCTTCTTTGTTTGATAACCTATTCTTCTATTACAACTTTAATACACTAAGTATTTTAACTCACCAAAAGGGGCCCAACTGCACCATGTCTCTTTGTTCTGGTTAGTAATATGAACATCTGGTGGGGGTTTCAAAGTAGTACAGTTTTGATTGAGAACATTCTGTACAGTTAAACGAAGAAAGGTTTGTATTATTTACAAAACTTGGTTATACTTATACCAATGAAAAATGAATCAGGCTAATATTTTTAATGCCCTTAGCAACAAAGTTAACAGCTTGCTATATGTATGCAAATCTATAAATTGTAATACCTAATAAGTAAGAACACACAAATAAAGGTAGCCAGGAGATTAATAAAAATGACATGAAAATACATATATAGGTAAAATAGCTTGCAAAGATAAGTCTGACCACTAGAATATAAACATATATGTCAAACTTACTGCATACAAGAAAACATGTTTAACTCTTAGTAAGAAATTTCTACCCTAGACAATATATTAGAGAATTAACCTGTTTTTGCATGACAAAACCATACAACACCAAATTTTGTATGGCAATACTATATAACATCAGACCTTGCATAACAACTTCTTATGACACCAGATGTTGCATGATGGCACAATATTACACCAGATCTTGCATGACAATACCCTATGACATCGGATCTTCCACAACAGCACCACATCTCCCATTTCAGCATCATATGATACCAGATCTTGCATGACAGCACCATATGACACCATAACTTGCATAAAAATACCATAGGATGCTAGGTTTTTCAAAGTATTATAGTGACAGGAATCAAAGTTTTTGTTTTGTTTTAAAGACACTCACTCAGTTTAATTAATCATACATGAAAAAGACAATTAGAACAAAGAAAACTTAAGTAATATTATTATTAAATAAATCTAAAAAATATATGACACAAAATTAAGGGCACATATATTATAAAATGTAGTTTAATTAATTTATAAAACATAAGTTCACTACACAGCTCTAAATATCTTCAAAGTAAATTAATATGACCAAAACAACAACTATTTCATCTTTATTTTATGCTACAATGTAATGAGCTACAAGTACTTTATATGTTAATACTGAGACAGTGGTATTGAAATACTATTGAAAATCATAATTTCTATATTTAACAATAATGAAAAGTCTTACTTTTATACAAATGATATATCTGTAATGCTTATGCACATGAAACTTACTTTGACAACACTGAGAGGTCTTCTGGATAAGTGGTAAGCTGTATAGGAAACAAATGTAATTCCCAGGATAAACACACGGTACCTGGTTTAAGGACACAAGTGTAATACATCATATCAGTTAAATCCATATTTACATTGGCATTACAAACAAGAATTTTTAAAAATGTAATAGGGTAACTAATAATTGATATTTCTTTACAAATTTATACCACTTTTTTCTAATGTTAAGTAGTTTTAAAATTGCTGAAAAATGTTACAAAAATTAATACTGAAATATCAAATATTATGCTTTTGTGATAAAAATCATGTAAACTGCAGATTTTTCTTCACACTCCCCTTAATTTGTTCTATAAATATATTCTAAGTTAGAGATATGTAAAAGTAGCATTTCACTTTTCAGATAATTTCTGTCTCTCACATGTCTGCACTTGTCAAATGGACCAATAATTCAACAGAGTACTGAAACGTTATTTATTGATGTAGTACGACTACAAGTCTTTAATGTTATTGTTGAAGACGCTGAAAACAAACATAGCATTGGAAAAATTAATTGCAATGTAAAAAAACTGTAGTTTGCGTAAATTTTATCATAACAGATATGCGTCTTGGTTCCCAATGATTCACTAGTTTTCGGACTTTCCTGTTTGAAAAAACTGTGGGGGCATTTCACATCAAATCAATTTAAAATACAACCTAAAATACTGCAAATTAATTAAGAAACTATACATGCCTTAAAACAAAGAGTATTGAAACTTACTCGTGCTTAGATTCATATTATTAAGCAGCTTTATTAATAATAATATAAATAACTTGAATGGACTAATTTTTTCGACGTGTTCTAATACCCATGAAGTTATTTTTCATAAAATCATCTTGTTATTTCCCTAGCCTCATTACTTATTATAATAATACTCAATTATATCTGTTCTGAAAATGCGCATGCGCGCACAAATGGTGGATGTAAGTATACTTTAGTAGACATTTTGTGTAACAACATATTAAAAACTTATTAAAGGTTTTAAAAAGGTCTAACGTTTGGTCTTAGAATAACATTATATGTATCTTAATAAACTTACTGAATGTTCTAAGAACGGTAAAGTTTAGCACTAACTAAACTAAAGCAAAAAACATACACAAATTACAGTGTTAATTTATCTCTATCAAATATAGGCCGTACTTAATAAAGGCTTAACTAATGTTAGGCCTAAGACAAGTGGACTTAGATTTCGTTGTCTGCGAATAGAATTCATTGGCATTATTCTAGAAATCCTGTATTTAAAAAAGTACTGTTGCAATCAAGATACTAATTTAACCGCAAATGTGTTTACGGGTTTCTGTTAGTCTATTTCAAATATACCCAGATTTTGTTTGTCCTGAAAATAAGCGAATAACTTATTGTCTAAATGTGCACAAGCTTCATTTCAATGGATGTAAAGAAATGGCGGATGTAAATATACTTTAGTAGACATTTTGTACAATAACATATTAAGAATTTATCAAATGTTTTAAAAAGGTCTAACATTAGGCTGTAGAATAACATTATAAGTTTATTTATTGATAGTATTAAGAATGGTAAAGTTTAACGCTAACTAAACAAAAACATACACAAATTACAGTGTTAATTTATCTCTATCGAATATAGGCCGTACTTAATAAAGGCTTAACTAATGTTAAGCCTAAGACAAGTGGGCTTATAGATTTCGGTGTCTGCGAATAGAATTCATTTGCAATATTCTAGAAATACTGTATTTAAAGAACTACTGTTGCAATCAAGATACTAATTTGACCACAATTTTGCGGGTTTCTGATAGTTTATTTTAAATATACCCATATTTTGTCTGTCCTGAAAATAGGCAAGTATCTTACCGTGTAAATGCGCTTCATTTTAATGGATGTAAATATACTTTAGTACACATTTTGTACAACAATATATTAAAAACGTATGGAAGCTTTTAAAAAGGTCTAACGTTAGGCCGTAGATAACATTATAAGTTTATTTACTAATAGTACTAAAAACGGTAAAGTTTAGCGCTAACTAAACTAAAGCAAAATAAAGTACACGAATTACAGTGTTAATTTATCTCTATCGAATATAGGCCGTACTTAATAAAGGCTTAACTAATGTTAGGCCTAAGACAAGTGGGCTTATAGATTTCGGTGTCTGCTCGTAGAATTTATTTGCATTATTCTAGAAATCA